TGACTTGAAAATTTCCTAATAGTAAAATCCATTAAATAATGTTACAATACCTGATACCTCTAAATAGGTTAATGTGTAATTATATTAGGAGTTTGTTTTGTCGGAGCTGTATGCGTGGAAGAATATTTGGTAGAAGTACCTAAGGACTACATCTTCATTTTTGAAACTGGGGAAGGATAGTTATTTAAATAGATTTTGGTATATCTTAAACTTATTCAAGAGAAAAAAATAAGTAAGAGGCCAGTGAGTTATTTTTATGCATGTCAACAAGTTTAACTCTTTAAATAGACAAAATATAAATTTAAAATATTATAATAAAACCTCAATATTACTACTTTTATTTAAATAAGCTAGCCTTTTAAACCTTTAACTGAATACATTTTTTCAAAAAAAAAAAAAAACCTTGAACTGACTTAATTAATGAAAAAAAAAAAGAGAACTTGATCGTAACTCGTAAGCTTGGACGACAGTTTCATCTATTTCCATCTCTATATTCAATACTCCACCCAACCTTATTAGCATTTTAATTGCATTATTCAAGTAATTTAGCAAATTATATGTAATACCTTGCCGGATTAGAACTGTATTACTGATGGCTCACGGAATTTATGTCTAAATTAGGTGTGGTGTTTATTTCATTCCAAAATAAATGAGATTCTTTTTGTTTATATTCAGAATCAGATGGAATATAATGTCTTAAAAATATATTTAGTCTTCATATACAAGTTTATTTTAAAAAATATTTTAGAATAAATTTTTTTTACAAAATTGAAGAGAAAAAAAAAAATCTATTCAAAACAACTTTTTAACATTGATTTTTACCTAGTTATGACTACATTATTTGGCTGATTTTTGACAAAACCTTCACCGACATTTTGCTTTATCAAATTTCCTAGACTGGTAATTCCCTCAGTTCTAAAGTGGTGAAACCGGTCGGTCCATATTTAAAATCTAAGGAATAAAGAATTTGTAACATCACATTGAATTTTAAGTGTCATCGCAGTTGCCTAAAATTGATAAAAGAAAATGACATTCACATCGAAAACTCAGGAAGGAGTACGATGAAGCTTTTCATTCATCGTGTAATGAATTCACCAACTCCTCAAGAGTGATCAATGACCCTTTATGTGTTTCTCAGTATAATGAAAGCTTAACTAACATTTTATGCTTTCTACTTAATGCTTAACCTGCTCCTAACAACTTCAGACGCACATTCAAAGCTTTCTAACAGCTCTTTCATATTGTCTTTATGGTAATGAAGTAACATTTCAAACTTTGGAAAATATCTGCCTTGTCCTTTTCTTTAGGAAAATACTTTTCTCCTCCTTTTACAGCAATGACATGCCTCAACATAGGAAACAAAATCATGTGTCAAAAATAACATGACCAACACCCCTAAAAAGTGACAATTGAAATAGCTATTATTATACCCTTGAATTTCTTGTAAACTTGGGTGGAAATGCACAAAAGGGTAAATGCAAAATAAAAATAAATAAATAAATAAAAAACAAGATCAGCATAAGCAGTAATGTTTCAATCATCCACACGGATGATACTTTAGATATATGGGATTTAAGAAAGAAAACATATAAATTAAGAACATCAAAACTTCAAGTAGTCACTACTCTTACAATACAAAACTATAACGATTTTACTCCTCACTGTTTAAGGCTAAAGGATACAAATTCTCAAATGCAACAAATATAACAGCTAGAAGTACACGAGAGTATATTTCAATATGTCAAACATTGGAGTTTCAAATCTCACATTAGTTTGCAGCAACATTACAGGTGTTAATGCCATCCTTGCAATCACTGGTCAAATCATTGAAAGTTTCAAGCTGCTTTTTACCTCTCAAGAACACTTCTGTATCAATAGACACTCTCATGTAACCATCAAATTCAACTGGAATACCTTTATTGAGTTTTGTTGTCTCAGAGTACCACTCACTATTTTCATCCCAAAGATCCTTATACTCGTCAAGAAAATGAGTGCCGTACTTATCTTTCAGAGGGTCGAAGAAAGATGTATCAGGTTCATTTGTTGCTATGTAGAGGTTCCTTCCTTCGTCGATCTTGTCACGCAACGTCGAGAGAAGTGCATCAGGGGAGGTATGTGCATCAAGATTAGGCCAAAGCTCCTTGTTCCTTGCCTTCTCCCCTCTCACAACATGAACAGAATCATAGTCCCAGTTCAACTTTGAAGATATTGCAGACACTATATCCATCAACCTCCTTGATTTCCATAACAAATGCCACGGCCTTTGAACAACGGATTCTGTCTCTCCTTCACAGACTCTATACCAGTAGTTATCCGGCTCAACAGATCCAAACTTCCTCATGATCAAGGCATCCTTCACTTCCATAAGCTTCATTGGTGTGACCCTGAAATCCTCCACAAGGTGAAGATTCATACCATCTTTGTGTTGCCACTTGTTCCAATCTGCCCAAAACTGTTCCTTGTCCAACACAGACGCTGCCTCCTTTAAATGCTCAAAATCAAAGTAGAACCTGAAATCTTTACCCTCCTCATCCTGCTTCGATGATGTGTAAATCGAAGAGAGGCATATGCTCAAATCCATAACCAATGTTCGGTTCAGGTACTGAGCTTCTCCAAGAGCACACAAGAAACTCCACAAGTAGTGGTTCATGCTCTTACACCTATCTCCACCACCCTCATAAATCAAGTATTTACCATGACTAAACGAACTTTCAGACTCGACCACAGGGAGGCTGTCATTAACAACCTCTCCAACAACAGGCAACGCATTCGCCAGGTCCAGATTTGTCGGTGTCTTCTCTAGTCCAGCCTTCTGATGCTTCTTCCTCTTCCTAGCATTAACACCAGTGTGATATTCCCCAATGCTAACAACACTAAGTGTACAATTCTCATACCTATCAATCTCAAACCTCCTATAATCCTTATAAAATGCAGCAGCCTTCCCTTCCTTAGGCCTAAACCGCCACGCCATATCGCAATTGCTGTCATTGGAACCGCGAACTGGCTTCCCAAATCGGTAAAAATGGATATCCTGAAACTTCTCAATTGTTGCCCTCATCATCAAATGGAACACCTCAGGGTCCCTACAATCAACAGGGCCATTCACATCACAGTGAGAATCTGCGGCGGCAGCATCGGTGGCCTCACCAGATTCAGCACTAGCAAAGTTTTCAACATCAGTTGAGTTGATAATGGAGCCAAACACAGTTTCATTGGCAGCCATGAAATCCTCCCCGGTTCTAACAACAGTGTTATCAGACTTAAAAGTGGCGTTGGATTTGGAAGTGAGGAATGTGGTGATCTTGGTTGAAGGGTGAAACAATGGATCCTCAGGTTCATAAGTGGCAGCCATAATGGTGAAAACCAAAACCCCAACAACAAAAAATGAGAAGCAAACGTTCCCAATCATGGCCATCGCATTCTGACCTAAATTCTCAGGCCGGAAACTCCCGGTTCTGGAAAATGCAGAACGACCCAACATTTCTATCGTGTATCAGATCACCCCCGGTATATGTATCCTACATGAACATGAAAAAACAATGATACCCAGTAAACTATATTGAATGAAGACAGCAAAAAGGGTTTAAAGTTGTCATTTTTATTTCAGAGGAAATGAACAAGCAATGTAATTTGAAGATCTGAAAAAGAATGGAAGCAGAGGAAACTAAATCTTAAGAGAGTGAAGAAATACAAATACAAATACCCATTTATCCAAATTGTAAGATCTGAATGCAGAATTGATAACTAACCTGTTATCTTAACAAAGGAGGGATCAAGCAAAAGGGCATCACTGACACCCTCTCTCTCACTCGAGGTTTTTGTGCTGCCTATGTAATGCAAGTTGTCAACGCAAAAAAACTTTCTGGTGATTAAATATTAAAAAAGAAGGGAAGAATAGATGGTAATGAAATTGTGATAAAGCTTGGTGTAATGCGCACCCATGAGATTGCGATATTGTTTAGTTTTATTCTTTCAGATTTCTTTCTATATAAATTGAGCTATAAAAACACGATTTTTTTATTAGTTCACGAGTATAGTAGGATGAATTGGTTGATAATTGATCTATGTAATTATTTTTTAATAAAATAAGCGCTAGTAAGTAAGATACTAATATTTAGTTATTTACTCATTTAATTAATTATAATGTTGTGCTCACGGTTTTATGATATTGGTGACATAAAAACATAGTAGCTGTAGCTGAGCACATATTGTACGTGGTCACCGACAATGGCAAAAAAGTAATTGTAAAGTGAACTATTATGACACGCTACTCTACTGTCGTTGCTGCCACGCCATGCGGTGCTTTTTGGATAGTTAAATTAGGGTTTTCGTATCACTCATTTGAGGTTATAATTGACAATCACTATTTATCATTGTTATGAGTTATTATTATTATTATATTATTATTATTAATATTGTTATTATTATCGATGTTTTAATTGTCATCATTATTGATTAAAATTTCTACTATTATTACTATCGATGACAATATCATTATTATGTTTAATATTATCCATCATCATCTTTATAACATCATTATTTCAATTACTAATATCACAAATGACTCCAATTCTTATTTAATTATATCATTTTTTTTTATCCTTGACATTCTATTTTTAATCATATTTTTTATTTTTAATATCAGATTCTTTTGAAAAATAATTTAATTTCTTTAAATTAATATTAACAAAACTAAATGATGTTAGCACATAAATTAATTATTTTTTTTACTTATATTTAAGTTTGAATAAAGTAATTTATAGCACTTATTATTAATTGACTATAAAACTTATAAAATAATGAAATGTCTTTTAGTAAACAAATAATACTATGAAAGACAATTTGAAAATAATTTTATATATAAATAAATAAATAAATAAATAAATAAAAGCAATTAAAAAAAAGCCTTGTATAAAAATAGAGGTCAATCGTGATATATATTGCCTGACGTAAACTACATACCTCATAATTTAGAAATCTTTCATAAGTTCATAACTCGGTGAAAAAGAAATACACAAGGCAGATTCTTTTATATGTGCACATACACAACATAGCATCCATGTCGAAGTATGCGCTGTAATTAATCGTGAGATGAGGGTCAACAGATCAAATCCCAAGTTAGTATGGTAAACATCATTACACTAGTCATGTGGAGAAGCTTAGACTCGCTTTGCATGCTGATCTTAGTTAACACACTAACTTCCCCCAGAGAAAAAAAAAAAAAGAAACATATATACAAGTTAAAACTCAATTGTGCAGTTGCTTGATGAGGAAAAAAAGGTACACATCAAGTGGATGGAATCACAGAAGGAGTACAAGATGCAGCCCTATGCTGGATGCATTTCATGCTGTGTTCCATACTCCTTTGAACCATATCTTGCAATAACTGTTTGGCAGTTTCAGCAGCTTTATCTACTCCATCTACCCTTTCAGCAATGTCATAAACAATTTTCTCCAAAACTGAGGAGGTTAGTCTTTTTTCTGTGGGAGAATCTCTCAGCAAATCCAGAAGCACACGGGCTCTATCTTGAGCTTCAGCTGTGCCCTCCACTGTCAGACGTAACAGACCCGGAATTGCTCCTTCTTTAAGAATCAATTCCCGGTATTTATCGCGGCAGCTTAGACATAATGACAGCAGAGTTCCAACAGCATGTTCTGTGCTGACAAGTGATCCATCCTCGACTGTCTCTACTAGTGTTAAGATTCCACCATCTGCGACTGTGATCGCGGTTCGTCCTTCTTCAGAGTTGGAAAGGATTTCAAGTAGTGCCGTGGCTTTTTCTGCAAACTTGGAATACTTCTTGCACTCTTTAAGGAGGTTGATCAGAGGGAAAACAGCACTTGCATCAAGAAGTTCAATGGAATTCTCAATGCTAGAAGAAAGATTGTGGAGGGCTGTAACAGCGTCAACTTTGCCTTGAACACTTCCAGATTTGAGAATCTGAACGAGGAGAGGTGCTGCTCCAGAAGCAGCAATAATGGGCTTGTTGGGTGCAGCAGCTGAGAGTGTCAAGATTGCAGCTGTAGCTAATTCTCGTATGCTGCTGCTATTTTGCATCTTGAGGAGCTCCACCAGTGGAGGCATGGCACCATCTGTCACTATTTTGACCTTGTTTCTAACAAACATAAACTTCAAAATGTTACACAAAGAACTAATTTCCCTGCCTAAGAGAAACATAACTCCTAAAAGAAAAGAATGAAGAGGAGGACGCAAATCATAAAATCAAAAAGTAATAACAACAAAGGGTTGTAAAACAATGCATCGAAGATCATGTAGAATGTTTCAATCTTGTTAGGCACGATGTATTCAATAAGCATGAATTTTCTGGAGTTGAAAGTTGAAACAAAAAAATAATACTTATGGTATACCAAACCCCAAAAATCTCGAGTCATCACCAAATCAGGCAAATTGGTAGTCAAAAATATGCAGAAGAATTCATTAATGATCAGATGATCTATAACTAACAATTGGAGTGTCACCATAAAATAAATATTCATTTCATATTAAGAAAGAGTATAAAGATTCACAAGAAAGATTAACATCACCGGCATCTACATTTGAACAAACCAATATAGAAAGCAGTCAACACAACAATGAGACAAGCAAGCAAAATCGATTAACTAAACATACATATTTAGTATTAATCAATTTCGCCCTGGATTTCATTTTGGTTACTAAGAAAGGACGGGAGTTAAAAATCCATTTAACCAAAGGTCAAGAAGAATGCAAAACATAAGGATCACAGGTGGACATCTTGCACTGAATGTCAAATTGTTTTGTTCACCAACTGTTTGTAGAAAAACAAAATGGAGAAACTGAAAAAAGGAAAAACAGATTGCCAAATAGATCTTTCCAGATTAGGATGGAATTTGTCTATTCAGCAAGGCTTCATGAAACTTTGCATCATTTCAATGACAGAGAAATAAAGTAATTTTAGCATCTAGGCTCCAGCATTCCATATTATGATGGTAATTTGTTTATTCAGAAAGGCTTCATGAAACTTTTAGGCTAGTTTATCAAATCCAACTGCTGGAGATATTAGATGCAAATATTGCATACTTGGTGTTATTATCCTTGAACTTCATCAAGTTGCTCAACATTGATAAAATCTTCCAAATTTGTATTTCATCCTAAAGAGGAACTGTTTCAAATGTGGAAGCTACCCTAACAGGAAGTCACACAGGTAATGCCAGTCTAAAATTTCACTAGTATCAAATTGAGAAGCATGGTTATAATTGCACACCAGAAAACAGTGGAAAAAACATGTTTGGTCTATGTTTGATACTTGTGGTAGGTGATCTATCTACACAGCAAATATCTCCCTCTGGTTAGTAGCATCACAGTTGCTGGTTCACTAAGTACATAACTTTTGGGGAGGAAGATGTGGTGCAACTATGGAAACTTGCTAGTACATGATTATTAGAATCATACAAATTGTACGAATTGTGATTCAAGTCATGATTCAATACAATTCCCTTGGCAACTGACACAGATTGCAAGGTGAAGTAAAATCAACTCAGAATCACACCTGGAATTGTTTGAATAGCTTCTGAATCACAATAATCACCTTTCTGGGTTGAAACATACAATTTGTGCATGTCCAGGTCACATGTAAAAAAACAGGTTCAGATTGCTGTGACCAGTTTCTATAAAACATGATTTTTAGTTTTTTTAATAATTATATTTATACAAGATTGGAGGGAAAGTGACAAATCTTTCCCTCTCATGATTCCAAAAGATGGTCCCGTCCCCCACTCTATGCCTCTTCATGATTAAGGTTTGGACATGTTTCCCCCCACACCCATAGTCTTTTTGTGCTTTGTCTTTCCTCCCACAGTGTTGTATAGGTTGTTGGTCCCCCCTGGCTTCTTTCTGGTATATTTTTTATAGGTTTCCAATCTTTGTCGTTGCTGTGATGTTTCTTCAGAGTGGTAAAATGGGAAAAACAAAGAAAATTTATATTGAGGTCATCTGGAACCACTCTGAAAGTGTTACTACATATAGGCTTGCAGTCAAATACATGCATTGTTCACATACTTGTTGGGGTGGTGTTACAAGGATGAAGCATCACCTTGCTGGAACAAAAGAGAATGTGAGTACCAGTATATTGATTCCTGGCAAAGTTAGAGAGATGTTTCTGAAGTTGCTAGAAAAATTGAAAATAAAGATGAAGATGCAAATAAGTAGGTACCCAAGCAGAGAAGAGAGGCTGTCTGGTGAGCAGCTGAAATGAGCCCTAATGAGCAGTGAACAGAGATGCAATTGTGAAAGATGGATCCTTCAAACCCAGCCCTAGCAAGTTTTAATCGCACTTCTAAATGCCCAAGAAAGCATGTTGTTTTGGTTTGAAATGGGGCTGAAGTTCAGATTCATAAAATCAGTCTTCAACTTGCAAGCCTATGCAATCCTACACAAGTTTAAGTGAGCCCACTAGAGAACAATTCTGGTAGCAAGTTAAATCAATCACCTTGTCTGGGATTGGAAATACATTCAAGTTTAAGAGTTGTCACGCGAGTTAGACAACCTTTTCTGATTCTAATAGATGCTCCCCAAACAAACAGAACATGCATCAGAAAGGAGTTGGAAGACATGTAACAGAATTTCCCTATTCATCACAAGTCACAACAATCAATAGCAGGTGAGCATGCACTCCAGGTTACAATGCCACTTAGAGGCATAATAATTAGGGGGTTACCATAAAGATCTCAAGTGCATTAATTTCTAACCTAGACACTCCTACGTCTCAAGTATAAACCCACCGCACCCAAACACAAACATGAGAGTTAGAACGTAACTCCAGGTACTCCAGCTCTGCAGTAGCCTCAACTCAAGGCATTCCAGCATGATTCCAACAACCCTAGATCATTTCCCAAGCTTCAGGTTAAAACCGTTAGTTTGTTTTTTATTTTCTGTCTAATCACGCCTAGCCTACTACTAACTATAGAAATAAAATTGCAGAAATTCAGGCATAAATGCCATGTTATGTAATGAAAACTGCTCAGGATAAAACATAAAGTATATCTCGTAATATTAAGACTCTCAATTAGACTAAAAGATTAATATCACAGAAATAAAATTTGGAAATTGAAACACAACCTATATAATAATGCAGTATCTTTGATAAAAGGGTATATGGTGGCAATGCTGATTTTTATAAAGGAACATCATTTACAACCTTTGAATTAAAAACCATCTAAAAGATTTAAAGACAAATATATTGCATTCTTAAGGAGATAGCCAAATCTAAAACATGTATTCCAGTATCATGATTTTAGGACTCTAAGTTCATGTTCCACTTTTCTTAATTTTTTGCCAAAACAGCTTTTTAGACTAGGGTTATTTCTGCAGCATCTTGAACACCAAATATGCTAATCCAAAAACAAATCAATAAACCTTGTACCATTTAGTGCATGTTTGGATCATCTAAGGTCACATTGAAATACAAGCTTTTAGGGTAAATGTTCACAAGTTTGGTCTCACGATAAGGAATTGACTTTGGGTCCAAATCAATTTCGAGTTAAAACAACTTTAGAGTAGTTTTAGTGTTGGACCAAAAATTTATATTAAGTTGTTCCATTAACTTGCTTTCTAAAAAAAATCCAACAAACACAAATCGCTTCACTTCAAAATCAACTTTAACCAAAATCAATTTTGCAATTCTGCAAATGCTTATCCAAACACACAATTAGAGAAGTAATTTTGAACGAAATGTATCTTACAAGAACTGGACTCAGAAGAACCAGTTCTCTTTGAAGTTTGAACAGTGTCAAAAAAAAGGAGAGAAATTTCAATCATCCATCAACTAAATATTGCAGTAAGATTTATCAAAAAAAAAAATATTTTTTTTCCTATATTTTTCTGCTGGGATAAATAAAAATAATAAACCCATCCAATTCCCACTAATAACACTTCACACATATCCACACCATAACAAACAGTAACTAAAAAATCAGATTCAGATGAACCAAATGAGATTTAGACAAAGACCCAGAAACCGAATTCCAAAACCCATTTGAGAATCAACAAAAAGCAAGCATCTTCGGAGAAGGGGGTACCGTTCATTGCGAACAGCGAGGTTGAGGAGAGCGAGGAGAGAGGATTGGCGAGCGTCGACGTTGGAAGAAGAGAGCATGAACACGAGCGGTTCGATGACACCCGCTGCGGCGAGCTTGGAACGTGTCTTGGACGACGACGAGGATTTCCGAACCATCCTCCTTATCTCCCTGGCAGCCTCAATCTTGGCGTTGAGGTTCCCATTGATGAGCTTCTCGGAGAGGTGAATTACGTGAGTGTGTTTGGCGAGGTTCCATGTTGATGATGCTTCTGATTCTGTTTCAGTTTCTATTTCTATTTCTGTGTTCTCTCCCTCTCCCATCTCTCCCTCTCGGCACTCGCACTGTGTTCCGCCCAAAGCCAACCCTTTCTTCTTCCTTTCAGATTCCTTCCTAACCCCTTTTCAGAAAATACGGAACTTATTTATAATAAATAAATTTCATTTTATTTTATGTAAATATATGTTAATGAAATTTGTATTAAAATTCTAACTTTATTTAAAAAATAATATCAATTGCATTATTTTAAAGAATTTGATTATTCTAATAATCTTTTTTAACGAAAGTTGATAGAATTTTAAAAAAAATAAAATAAAAAGGTAAGGTGTATACATTAGAATATGTTATAGGGAAGAGAGTATAATTTTTATGGTATAAAAATAATATAATATTTATATTTTTAAGACGCACGAGTGTAAATAAATAATAAAGAAATATAGAGAATTGTAGAGACATAGTAATTAGGTTGATGGGGTTGTTTGGTTTCTGGGGCTTAAGGTTGTTGTTGTACATGTATGTGGGGGTATGTGGATTCATCTACCACCAAACTCTATAATAGAAGATAGCCCTCTCATTAACTTTATCCATAGGAGTCTGATTCCGGATACAGTATTTTCTTTGTACTTCACCAATGAAATTCTTCTATAATAAAGTAAGTGAATATTTGGAGAAAATTAAGTGATTGATCACGTTTAAGTGAAAATTAAGATAATTGTCTTTCATATTTGGGGGAAACGGGTGATTGATAACAATAATTGTGTAATTTTAGGAGTTTATAACTAAAACATGATTGCATGTGGCTAATTAATGTAAGAAAATGATGTCCCTCCGTGTTTTATTTATAGTTATTTTGTCAGAATTTGTTATTTTTTTTATTGTCATTTTACTAAAATTAATGATTTATTAATTTTTTTTCTTATTTTTACCCTTAATAATTAATGTATGTTTATTAAATAATGTGTCTATTTATTTCTAATGTTTACTTATTTTTTCTTCAACCAACTAGATAAAGTTAATATTGTATTTAAAAAGATAATATGTTTCCAACGAAATACTATAAAAAAATAAAGAGTAAAATAAGAAAGTAAATAATAAATATTTTTAAAAATTAAAATATTAATCATTTCTTTAAGTTTCGTGCAAAATCTTAAACGATTATGAATAAAAAACGGAGGGAGTATGTCATTTTAGCATTCATATCAATTTTGGTTGAATCTGATTAATTAGTAGTTTTTTTTTTTATAAATTTTTATGTGGTTCATTCCTAAACCTAAAAAATGTGAAACTAAACACTTAGTCGGTTGGTCGATGATAAAATAAAGTTATTCAACTTTATTATACTTTTAGAACATTAACTTATTAGGATAATTTAATAGAATATTAATTATATATTTTTAAAATTTTTAATAGTATGTTTATTGTTAATTAAATTCTTTTAAAAATTAAGGAAGTCTAACTCGGTTAATGGATTAGAATGCATAATTTATCTTAAACTTATTTGATGTCGTATTCAATTATTATATATGAAAAAGTTATTTATTAAAAACACAAAATTGTGATATTTATTAAAATATATGTTATTTTATGAATTTCAATAAATTTTAGTTAATCATAAAGAATATATTTTAATATATTATTACTAATATATTTTAAATTATACGTTAGGTATTTTTGTTTAAGTAGAAGAATGTTATTATTATTTATTAGATATATTTGGATTTGTTTGTCCATTAACATAGTTCATAAAATACTTTAAAATTAATTAAAAATTATTTTATGCTCACAAAATATAACTTGGTCAAACATTATTTAACACTAGTTAGATATATTTAAATAATAATTATACTTATATTATTTTTTATTTAGTTTTCGCTTAATTATTAGTTGCTTTCATAAGTTTGACTTTGTAATTGGCTTCTCTTGGGTAGCTTTAGGAGAAAAGTAAATATTAATTTTGTTAGAGTTTAGGAATTAATGGTTATATGGTAAGTGTTGATCTAGGTAGAAAATAAGATCTATAAAAGGTAACACCTAATTTGGTTTCCCTCAGAGTGTCACAACAAACATATTTACCTACTACAATATACATATTACCAAACTTTAATTTAGACAAGCACTACATAAATGTTATGCCCAAAAACATAAAGGACTTGGATCAATAAAATGTTCAACCACATAAATACTTTTGTACAAACCTACCTCATTTAGATATATGGATCTTAATTCATAACTTATTTGTCTAGTAAGTAGTGAATTGGGGCTACACTTTGTTGAAATAGTTGTACTCAATGCTAGACTTAGCTGTTAAGGTGACTTTAATAAACTTACAAGTAATATATTTGAGTTTTGTTATTTTGCTCTATTTTTTTTATACATACTTGAACCTTCTATTTGTCAATTCTTTACTCTTAACATGTTAATTATTTTTCATTTAAGGTTTTAATTTGAAAGTCAAATTTTATCTTTTTCCCTCTAATATTAGTTATTATCTAACTTTTTGCTCTAATTGACTTAGGATCCTAAATATGTCACTAGTTGTATTTTTCGAGTGATTTACACAATGAGACTTTGTTATTGTATGGTATGGTAATGATGTATGGTGGAATGTGGAAGGTATGTGGATGCTTGAGTTGCATAAATGGGTGATACTGATGTATGGTGGAACATTATAATATGTGATGTTTTGTTTTTGACTATGAAAACAAAAGTGTTATGCAACAAGAATAAACAATGTGTCTTAACCTCTATTTGTTTTAAAACAATAAGTCTCATTTCAATGTCAACCACATTATGAGGGTTAGTTATAACAAAAAAAAAAAAAAGATTAGTTCATAAAGGACTATATCACATATAAAGTATATTTGATCTTGTAATATAGATATTAAAATAATCAAATGATAAAATATGTACTTATGAAGTTATATGTGTGAATAACATTATTCTTTATCAAACATTTAAGACGTTTAATGATCACAACCGTTTATATATAAATTTAATCATTATTTCATCATTTTAACTATTTCAATGATGCACCAATATGTAATGGAACAATACGATAAAAATAAATGACAATAATACATTAAATACACACTATTTATTAATAGTTAAGTTTTATGTTATGTTAAAAAGTTTTAAACTATCATTCACTAATGTGTTTGTCATATATGACGTATTTAATTTGAGAAAAAGAGAGGGAGAAGAGAAACTTGCTTTATTTTATTTTATTTTTGCTTCATATACCTTGTTTGATTTACAAGGAAAATAATGAATAAAAAATAAAATAATTTACTATTATATCATTACAATATTGAAAATCATTAAATTCAAATGTTTAAAGTTAAGAATAATTTAGTCTGTACTTTATAAAAATTTCAAGTATTTTTCTTACCAAATCCATTATCCATTAATATTAAAAGGGAAAGCAAAATAGGGAGAGAACTTTGACCTCATTTTACTCCATTAAAAATCAAATAATTTTACGTCAATATTTTCATATGCTATGATCAAAAAGTGACATTTGCTTTTTCTCTTATGTCATATTCACACCTGCAAGACGAAATCATTAATTGTTCACATCTTAAATAATGGTAGAAATATTCCAACTCATTTAATTTCAATGTGCGTACCCAAAACATATATCATTGTGGGGGCATTAAGACAGAGAACACACCATAGTACATAAGGGGTGAAATGAAATGTAACTTCCAAAGGCATTCTTAATATTTAGAGGACAACATAACCACTAAAATTAACCTCCTATTAGAAAGTTGGGATAGATTATTAGATATATAAAGACATAAGTTTAAGTTTAATCCTCATTGTAAGATACATACACGTGAACATAGATTTGATCCTGATTATCCGCGTTGAAATATTTTCTACGGATAAAAGAACAAACACAACAAAGAATCCAGTGTTGTAACATGTTAAAAATGAGATTGGGAAACAAAACAAGACTAAGAAATAAAGAAAAATCCAGGGATCTACTATTAGAAGCAATTGCACAAGTGTTCCTAAGTCTTGACCCAATTTTTTGTGTAAACCGTGAGAAATAATATTAGTTGGCTGAAAACAATTGACAGTTTACGTTGCCCATAGCAATACAACAGCTCAAGTAAATGATTTATCTTGCTATCAAAATTCACTTTACAGGTAAGACAAGGGGCACCAGAAAAGCTTTTCCCCACCAACCAACCAACCTAAACCCTATAAACCCAAACTAAAAAGAAAGAATGGACATTTCTCATCACCACTCAACAATACTCTTAATAGAGTTCAAGGACCTCAACAAAAGATAGGGAGGGAAAAGCTTGGAGCTATGAAAAGGTATTAATGGTAACACAAAATAGCAGGAGTAAAAAAGAGAAGGCCTGCATATGTTTCTACCTCGTCTAACTTTAATGGTCAATATCGGTTACAGGTGTCCTACCCTTCATATGTCCTCAATCCAAGCAATCAGAAGATCATATTGGCAAATTTTCCACCTTCTTACACTCAAATGAACCCAATTGCCTTCTTCTCCTCATAGAAATCCAACCATATTTTGGCATTTCTCAAAAAATTTCCCCAGATAGGACTCAATTATCTAATTTAGCTGTCAGGAAGTTCCCGGCCTCAGTAGTTGCTCGGCCAATTGATCTGTGCATGCTGAGGCTGTTGATAAACATTGCCTCCAGGTCCTACCATGTCGACTGCTCCAGCCATTGTCTGCGATTGTTGTAGCAGTGGATGAACTGTTGCTGCTGTCACTGCTTGTGCGGGGTGATAGATGCCCGCGAAGGTGCCATGGCCAGCCTGAGTTGGGGCAAAAGTCACATGCTGACCCTGTGGTGGAAGGTTGTAGAATGTACTAGTGGGCAAACTGGTAATGTCCCGGCCAGGTGCAGCCACCCACACTGCTGCACCTTCACTCTGCTGTCA